ACTTAAAGTCTCTTGCGCAACCGACATGATTAGCGACAGCTCTCTTGAGAAATTGGTTGTGCTTTGTATTTTCATGCAGTATGATATTTTGCCGGTATTGAAAATATAACTGCAATGCATGCTGGTTGCGCAAAAGCCTTTAAGTCAAAGTCAGAAGCCTTTCACTGAATCCGAAGAAATAATAAATAGGAACAAAACACGGATGATCATTGACCTGGTTAAAATAAATGACACACTCTAGTGTGCTACAGACGAAACGGGGTTACTACAATAAGTACCTGAATACCAAAAACAAAAAGGCTTATAAGGAGGCCAATAAGGGATTTTCACTTTATGTAACTCAGGATGCATAGTCCTTCACAACTTTGAATGAGAGATCTATGATACATAGATATGTCGACGGATAAAGGTTAAGAAAGGTAGGCAAATCATTCTACATCATCTTTTTTCAGTTCTAATCCATTTCAATAGAAAATGTAAAAATAAAAACAGAAATCATCACCACCTTAGGTTCATTATCACCTTAAATTCATTACAACACCATAGGTTCCTTACCATCTTAGTTTCATTACAGCACCGTAGGTTTCTTACCACCTTAGGTTCCTTACCACCTTAGGTTCATATCGCTTTAAGGTAATTACCACATCATATACTTCGTTGAATCAGCTTATTGCGTTTATCCGCATCTAGCAGCCCATGTCACAAAATCACGGATTTATTTTATGCAATCACAACCTCTTTGTTCACAAGAAATTGCCGAAATGAAAATTGTAGCATCTTTAAAAATCAGGTTCACTTGCATCAATAGTTACTTAGAATTAAATCTAATATAAAATGTAAAAATATATACAAAACTTCAAGTCTGAAAACATAACTGTTTGCAATCAGTAAATGCTTAAAACCATAATCTTTAGAGTTTGATATGCCCAGGCGTCTGAAACGAAAAAAAAATTACCATTATAGAAGAAATATGCTTTCCCTCCCATAAAACAGTTCAAGAACAACAAAATTACTCTGAATCGCTTTAATTGGTAAAGTGCAATAAATTACGATAAAAATTGCTATTTATATACAAGCAGTATAATTTCAAATTAACTTCAGCCCTAGGAAATTAAACAAACTGCCTTTTTCAAACATAATAAATTAATCCTCTGAACAGAAAATACAATAGCGTTTTTTTCGCTAACAGCCACACCAGGAGAGGCTAGAACTATTAACGTCTTTTAGAATTTGAGGGATAGGCTATGAGAGGTTTTTTTGCTACTACAAAGGACGTCTCGCTACGAACATTTCAGATGTAAACAGATAGTAGAAAAATTCAACTATACCTTTTTGCTTGAATCAGTTGTGCGATTATGCTCCTCCATGTGTTTGCGTAATGAATCATTTCTTTTGAATTGCCTTGGACACAAGTGGCAGTGATATGGTGTCTCTCCGGTGTGTGACAGCAAATGCCTTTTCAGCTTAGAAGGCGTTTTAAACCCTTTATGGCACTCTGTGCACCGATGTCGCATTTCGTCTGATGGTTTCTCTTGCTGGAACATTTGTTCAGGATGGTTTACTGTAATGTGCTGCTTGAGACTAAAATATGAAAGGAAAGATTCGTGGCAGGTGTCACAAGAATAAAGTTGACTGGCTGTTCTCGAGGATTCCAACTGATCTGAATGCGTTTGATTTTCAGACATTTCTGTCATTTTAGCGGACAGGACATTAGCTGTTTGAGTGCCGAAGCTTGGTGAGGCTAGGCCAGTGACTTTTTTTAACTGGCGAGCTGGTTTTAGCGTTTCAGCCATTTGACCTTTGCCGGCTTCCACTGTTACCATATTTGTTGATGCAATATCTTCACCGGTTTTTTTGGGACTATCTAAAATGCCCTTGGTTGAACTGCCCAGAGCATTTTCCACTAACATCTTCAGTTGTTCTGAGTTGCTCTTGATTATTTCTCGGGCTGGTAAAATCACAGGCATATCTGGAGATGGCTCAGAGTACTCGCTGGCAGCCACGCCTTTGATGTGAGACTCAGCTCTTAGATTTCCCACTTCTTTCCTCTGAATATCAACTTCAGATGGGTAGTCTCTGTGATCTGTCCTGCTGCTGTTGCTGATATCAAACTCTTCTGAATTTTCAGCAGACTCAGTCCCCCTGACAACGATCACCGAGCTCGATGTCTGAATGTGTGCCATAGATCTACCAGAATCTTCCCTTGGATCCCCCTCTTCCTTAAGCCGGATCTTTGTGATTAACTTGCTTCCCTTAAATCTCTCGTGAGTAATCAGGTGATTGAACAGCTTGTTGTTCTCTGAAAATCGTTTTCCACATTTTTTACATTTGTACGGCTTTTGCTCTCCGTGTGAAAAGCTGTGCCTCTTTAACTTTGAAGGTGTGATGAAACTCTTTCCACAAACCTAGAAGAAGCAGAAATCTTTCCCAATCATAACTGACAGGACGAACAAATTGACGTTTGGTGACAAGCTTCCTAGGCAAGTAGTGATGTATCCTAACAACAACTTACCCTCCAAGTGTGTGATGACACCAACCTTTTTATTGAGGACATAGGTATTATAAATGGATACCAATAACAAAAAGGTGATCCCGATTATTGGACCACGATCATTACAACGCAATAAAAACAGTCTAATCTTTCTCCCACTGTTTCATAGGATTATCAATAGCAATATCATTTACAATAGCAATCGTATTTGTTTTCCAGAGCACGAATGGCCAAAAAATCGTGGTAAAAAGTATAAAGTATAAAGAAAATTATAAAGAGAAGTGAACATCGGTGGTTATTAGAAAAGCTCCTAAATGACTTGTAGCTTTGAAATGATAACAATCTTTTTTCATTTTGAAAATAATTCTTTGAATGTCAAGTTTTCTTACCAATGGCAAGGTACTTAAAGCGATAAAAATAAGAAGGCATGAAAATACCTGACAAGTGTATTTCAAAGGCTTTTTGGAATCGAACACTAGTTCCTTGATACGAGACTGGCTGGTCTCGTTTTCAGTCTGAGTTTCACCGGTTACTGCAAAACTGGAAGGGAAGGTTTCACTCTCGTTGTTATCTGCTTCATTGACGAGCTGAAGGTCTGTCGATACTTCATCATTAGCATCACCCTTTTCAGATTCTTGCTTGACAACAATTCTTTCATCAACTGACCTTGCCACAATGCTAAAAGCTGATTCTGGCTCTACCATTGTGACTTCAACTTGTGAAAGCTCTTCTTCCAGCAAAGTCATATCCTCCGGATGACTTGATCTAAAATGATTTTCCAGCTTATTCTTCTCTGTAAACGCTCTTTGGCAAATTTTGCAAAAAAACGGCTTGTTACCTGTGTGCACCGTGAGATGCCGCTTAAGCTTCCAGGGTGAAACAAAATTTTTGTCACAGAACGAGCATTGGTGCTTTCCAGCACCATCTGCTTTAGTAGGTGATTTCCCAATAGCTGCTTCCACATCGTCCACACCGTGACCTTTTAAATGGTTGAGCAGTTTATTTCGTTCGGTGAATCCTTTCTCACACAAATTGCACTTAAAGGGCCTTACCCCAGTGTGCACAGCCATATGCCTTTTCAATCTTGATGGTGTTTTGAAGGACTTTCCGCACTCCCGGCATGTCTTTGTATCATCGAGCTAGAACAAGATGGATTTTTGCCATTACTTTGTATACAGCAAGCAACTGATTCTAAACACATTCGTGTTATAATCACCGAGACTGTATGCATGAGTTGCATATAATTCGGTAAGCGGTGATCAGACAAAACAAACAAGAAAAGGAGCAATGAATGAAAGATCATTACATAAATACCAAGAGTACAGGGAAGCACCTACAAATGAGAGTACGGGCCAGTGGGTAGTGAAATCAATTAAAAAAACCTGGAAATAACCATTACCGAATTACTGATTCCTTCTCCGGAGATGGTGAACTCCACATTAGCGTCAATTGCCGTTGGATCAGTGACTGTCAACGTGACCTTTTCAACCGGCGCTGGCACTGGCTGCGACGATTCAAGACTGTTGCTTAGCTCACTGACATAGGGCGCGTTTGTATTCGTTGGCATAGGCAGACCGGGAATTGACAATGGCTCTGGTGGACTTATCTTACTAGGTTCCGCTTCTGGTATGCTTATTTCTTCTTCTAAGATTACAAATAAAAATTAGCATTCATCATGTAGTAATACTAATAGGGGGAGGGGCGTTTACCGTCAAATAATACTTGAAATGTCATTAACAAGGGTCAAGGGTGTTCTTACTTGTATCTTGTAAGTTGCTATGTGACACATACATAGAGCTATTAGACATAGCTTTGCTACAAACTCAAAACATAACAAGGGTCAAGGGTGTTCTTACTTGTATCTTGTAAGTTGCTATGTGACACATACATAGAGCTATGAGACATAGCTTTGCTACAAACTCAAAACATAGCGACCAATACAACAATAAACAAATATATTCACAACGATGAAAATCTTTACAGCGCAATAGAAATCTATACAGATTTTGATAAATCGTTTTCTTTGTGAGACTTTACCAAATAAAGGCAGTGTTACCAATCTGAAGACATCAATTAAACTAAATTACTCTTAAAAAAACTAAAGTTAAAGACATATTGTCAATCAATTGATTATGAAGCGACTTTATGCGTTCGTTTGATCTAGCCTAGCTTTTGATCGATAATAATTACACAGAAATTGGCAACACCAAAATCAAAGAAACTCGAACTAAACTTACGGAGGTTGACTTTCCCAGTGCTCGCAATCACGGCTGTAGTCGTTTCGATGGCTGTAGGCTCTTCGCCTTCTTCACTGTGCAACGTGAAATTGTGAAGATCGAGTTTGTTCTTTGTCAAAAAACCACGCTTGCACACTTCGCAGCGAAATGGCCGTTCTAAGCTGTGAGTTTGGCTGTGTCTTTTAAGCTTCCAATGTGTAGCAAACTTCTTGTTGCAATCAGTACATTCGTATTTTTTTGATCTGGCTGCTCTCCTGGCAACTGCATCTGAAGACTCTTTGTCAGTATGGTAGAATTTTATATGCAACATTAACTTGTTATTCTCAACGAATCCTTTCCCACAACGGTCGCACTGCCAGGGCCGCTCGCCACTGTGAAAAAGTTCATGACGCTTCAATTTCCAAAGGGACACAAATTTTTTGTCGCATTTATCACATTCGTGCCGTTTTTCTTGTGAATTAGGTCGCACTCTGGTGCCATCGTGGGGAAGCATCTCGTGTTGGTCCAGCTTGCTTTTTTCATTGAATGACTTAGAGCATTTTGAGCATTTGTATGGCTTTTCACCGCTATGTACGCGTATGTGCCGGTTGAGTTTCCAAGAAGACATGAACGATTTCCCGCAAACGAGGCATTCATGTGTGGTTTTGCGTTTTGGTAGCAGTGAATTTACAAGGCGCTCCACAGCTTGCGGGTCAACGAACCCTTCTTTGTGATTTTTTACATGAACAACTAATTTATTTTTCTCGGCAAATCGTTTTGGACAATAGATACAGTTGTACGGCTTTGCACCTACAACGAAAACAAAAAATTAATTCTTCGGCGGTTCCACGAAAAAGCGTGCTTTCAGTGAAGTTTCAACGATACAGCCAAGTGGAGTTAAGTTACAAGAGAGCGTGAAAGAAATGACGGAAAATTGTAAAGTAAAACTGTAGCTCAACATAGCATAACAAATAGCTCAACAGTCAGATCTATAATTTTTGGCTCTCTGCTAGCCTTGGGTAAATCTTGTATATGTTGCCTAAGTAAAAAGACCTGTCCTAACAAATTAAAAATTGAGATATAAACTTTCAACTGAAAAGTAGGCTAATTTCGGCTTATCATAAATAGGGTATGGAGAACAATTTGGATTTATTAGCATACCCGTGTGAATGATGGTGTGTCTATCAAGCTTCCATCTAGTCATGAATCGCTTGTTGCAAAATGGACAAACAAGTAAAGGTGCAACTTGGTTGTGAGCTTCAAGCATGTGCTTCTTCAGAAAATGTTTGGAAGAAAACTTCTGTGGGCACAATTTGCAGTCTTGATCCAAGGTAGCAGGTTCTCCTAAAGCTGTCAAAGCAAAGATGAATCGATGCCGTAAAACAAGCATTACAATTTGAACTAATTCATACTGAAACAGACATTTTGTGACATGGATAAGAACTTACCAAGTATAAATTCAAACTACGAAATTTCTACATTACTAAATATTAATATATAATATACTTCTTTAATACATAATATACTTCTTTATATCAACGGACCACTTTCGAGTTACGCTTGTCAAGCACAGTATGGTGTATAAGAATTAAATAAGCATTTGGTACGGGAAAATTTGAAGGCAGCGCGGAAAGGCGGAAACATCGCATACCTCATTAAAGGTAGGATAATGACAGAAGGTAAGCAGAAGTTTACATCCAGACGCAGACCGAAAGCATCGTGAGGAAACGTATGGCGCATTTGATTTGTTCCCTGTTTTCTACTAGTCAGTGACCCCTAACCTCTCATCTAGTTAAAGAGTCCTAGAGGGAAAACGAACTCTCCACACTAGTCGGGGTCCGTTGTTCGGATGTAGACAGATTCCAAAACACCGAAATGATAAGACGACCTTGCTTGCCCAATGATTTTGAAACTGTCGACATTTCAAAACAATTAGCAAATGAAATCTTTAGTTATATGTCCTGCTCCCAGAAACCATGCAACAAAATAAAGTTTCAGAAAAAAGGAAAACCGGAACTACGCTTAACTTGTATCGCAGAACGCATTCTCCATTCATCTCCTTTTTGTTTTCTTCTACAGCTAGTAACAAGAAAAGGCTAACCCAAAGGCTTTACGAAACCGGATGCATTTCACATCACATTCGGATAGAGGGTGCAGCTACAGGACATAGTTATCCTTTTTGAAGAAGTAGGGCCATGCAGCAATCCAGTGCTTACGTAAGCTATGCCGTTTGGATAGCAAATCAAAAAGGCTTCGCGGCCATACAAAAAAATGTTTTGGTGCCTTTCCAGCGCTTAGCAATGGTGTAATCTTGCTCCACTGGCTTCAAACCAAACCGATGTGAAAAGTTAGCCAGTAACGTATATTAGATTTTCTTTACACAAAAATGGCTGAATCCCAAATTCGGATCAATACCTTTTTTCTGTGGTTGTTTAGCCCCAGTTGAATCGAAATTCCCGTATGTTCCTTGATCTGTGCCATTGTCAATATTCACTTCACCGGGAATCTCAGAACCTTGTACATCATCTAAGGAGGGAAAGACAAAGTAAACACAGAAACTGAAATTTCAAAATCTCATAGTGCCAGAAACAATTTCTATTCTGCATCTGAAGGACCCACACCACTGATACAAAACTGGAGGGGCAGCAAAGCAAAGTTTCCTGTTTCCCACTCTAGCCGCAATTTAAGCAAACATTTTTTGGTGCTGACTTTGGACATTGGTTTCAATGTATTCTTTGTAATCTAAAGGTTTATCTATATAAATAGTTTAAGCTCATTTTTTTGCTATTTTCGGAGAAAAGTTGGGAGGCCATGGCCTCCTGTGGCATGGGCCCTGGTCTGTAAATTATTTTACTGCCCATAGAATTTAAACATGAAACTGGTCCACCAATAGCAATATTTCTTTGGTTTGCAAGAATAGTCGAAGAATTGCTATGCATAACGGCATGTTTTACTGCACTCGCCTTGCTTCCATAGCATAATATGTATCCAAGTTTTAACCTATGAATCAACTGTTTCTCTGTGTTATGAGGAAAGGCCTATAATCTGTGTCATACCTGGCTCAACATAGCAGTGAATATTTATAGCCATCATAGACATCGATTTTGTCATAGAGTTGTATAAAATTCAAATGAGTGACCTTGCCTTGACAGAGCATGCATCTGCACACTTAACTTAGGCTTTGAGCCAAATATATTTACAAGAATTGTGGTCACTGTGACAGCTGTTTAATTCCAATGCTCTTTGAACTGTATAAGGTATCAAATACTGCTTTGGTCTGTTGCAACAAAATTTCAGTGCATGAAGCTACCACAAAAATCTAGCATATTTAATTGTGTATCTGGTAGCTGCTTCACAAAAATCAATTCAAGCTTAGCATTTTTACAAGCATTGACTTTGAGAGTATGGAGTTACCTTTCATCGAAATTTAGTTCTTTGCAAAACTTGTTACAAAAGATTTATCACCATGATACCTTAAGTGTTGGAAATCGTCTTCTCGGTATCCAGTTGTCATGTATTTGATACAAGGAATCACCTTAATCTGACAAAGAAGCTATATTTCTAAAAAGTGGGAACATTTTGAGACTTAAGTCTTCAAATCATATTATTGAACTTCTGTTTTTTTACATAGTTTCATTTTTCACTTACTTGAATTTAAAGATCCTGTGACATTGTCCTCTTCATTACAGTTGGACACAATCTCTGCTAACCGACTTAGCTGGTCATAGCTTGTTAAAGCATTTACAAATATGTTCTTGAATTCTTCATTTGAACTCAAAGACAGCATATGGTCTGGTCCTGCAATGAATTGTGTAGATGTTGTTAGTTGCAATCAGCAAGTTTTCATACAGGAAATTGGTGCCAATAGCTAGATAAAATCAGTGATCAAAGGAAATCTTGGCACACTAGGAAGATATATTCTTATATGGAGTATATAATTGTTGTTTTACATGCAGATATGACATGAAAATGGTTAAACGGCCACATTTAATGAATAAAAATGCAGTCTAGGAAAATGCTATGGAAGCTTTCTCAAAAAACAGGAACATCCTTACCAGATATATGAACCTGACCATCTAAGTATGTTAAAGCAACTGTAACAGAGCCACTTCTTTTATACCAGTTATTGAGCTAGGAAGCAAGAAACATCTTGAAACAAATGATGTATCAAAAAGTTTGGAAGTAAATGTTGATTCTACCTATGAAGCTTGGACTCATCAAAAAGATGCCCTTTATTAAATCATAATTACTTTCCATACTATTATCTTGAGCAGACTTAATTTTAAAGTAAATACTAGTTTACTTAAAATTAACAAACCACTTGGGGAAGCCTAATATTGATGCCAGTCTAGGGCAACAGCCAAAATGATAGCTACATTCAGGGTTGTGGCTAACTAATGTGCTAAAGGTTTTCAGTTCCCAATTGCTGACAAATTTGGGGAATCATCCTTTATCCACTGACAAGTTCCATAATTTGCTGACTAAGCACCCCTCAGTGGCATAAATCTCCTTGCTTTGCAACAAAAAATCCACATAGCCTGGCTTCAGGTAATTATTTGATGAAATATTCCCTTAGGAATATTACCTCTAAATCAATAAATTGATACAAATATAAAAAATGTGTTTATCTTAATATATAAACAACCAGTGATGTCTTGATGAAAGGCAGTTTTCCTAATATCAATAGGTCACTGAACTTAACATAAATTTCATTAACATAAATATGTCATGAAACATGATTACCTAGAAATGTTTATCATTTATGATTTTGATCATCATTTTTATGGTTGTTGATATATTAAGTTAAAATTTTCAGTTTGTCACAGTTGAGGTAGTGGGTTAACACCTCTTCCCACTTTGAAATGGAATGACACAATTGGGCATGGTGACAATTTAATGTTCATCCATTAAAACATAACAAAATAGTTGCTGCAAGGTGTACGTACAGTAGACTTCAAAGCTTTCACTCTCCGCTTATCAAATCGTGACCTCTCAACAGCATCTTGAATAAATATAGGTTCCGTCTGCAAAAATTGAGTGAATGGTTAAGAGTTATAAGTGCAAGGATCATTTATTCTATTTTTGACCATTAATTCAACTATTTAAATTGATGACTCCAGTTATTGTAAGCTTTACCTGTTTTACATAAAGCTAACTAAAATCAATCATGCAATCAAGCTAATGAATTCTTATCATATAAATGTTGACAAAAAAGCAATAGTTTTGACGAAAAACTGTGACAAAAACCTATATCTCTTAATATGTGGGGATGCTACACCAGCAAGTGGAACTAGAATTTGGTTATTATCTAACATCACCTCAATCCTTGCCTAGAAAATCCATCCCCACAGACAGGTTTAATGAACATTTAAAAAACAAAAAACATTTCACTGGCTTTTTGTTTGGAGAAACAAGATACTGACAAAAAGAAAGATTAGACATGTGAAAAAGATAAAAACAGGTTTATCAAATGATAAATTCCAGAGCAAAGAATGCATTAGCTGCCTAATGACATTTACCTTATCACTTTTCTTTGGGGCAACAACAGCACTGAGACCAAGGTCAAGAACAACATCATGGTGTGATGTAGTAACAGGCTGGGGTGGAGGGGGCTGTGCTTGCAAATGACACTCATTTAGAATTGTTACCGGTGGGGGTGCATTTCTTGCAAAGAACTCTGCAATGTCATGTCCTACAAAGTAAAAATGATTTTATAGACTCAAAATAGTGTTTAAAGCTGATTATTTTATATGCATTTTGTTATAATTGCTATCAGAAAACCAAATAAAACGACATGCTCATTAAATTTATACTTAATAACATAAGACGTCAGTTTCTAAACAAGAGAGGTGCAGTTGAGCAAAGGATTATAATATGCAAATAAATATCTGTTCAGTTCATTTTATTTTAAAATCTCACGACACAAGAAGGCCATTAAAATAATCATGAATACTACATGAAAAAATACAGAGAATACGGAAATACAGACTAACAACATAGCAAAGTGCATAATGTGCGGGGAATTACATTTTAATGGGAGCTGACAGTAGGTAAGCTAAGTGAGGAGAAAGCACTATCTATACAAATCTAAAGGTGCGATTCATTAGGGGTTCAGTACTTATTTTATATGTTGAAAACGATTTTGACAGGGTAACGGGCATTTTAACACATAATATTTAAAGATACCAGTACAACCAATACAAACGAAAACAACTTCCAAGCCAAATTTAGAAGCCTTGGTAAACCTAACTAACCGAATAGCAAAATAGCACTAAAATAGCACTCAAATTTTTATCAATTGGGCATCAAGAGGAAATGTCTAATTTCTAGACATCAAGATGAGTATACCTTGACTCCAAAGGAACAAAAATTCAGTACACGACACTTCAAATTATACCTATCTAAGACATTCTTATCTGATCTGACATTTTGCCTTAAAGACTCGCTCTCAGCAGATCTCTGTTTACTCCTGTTACAAAAGCGAGATAGATAATTGTGATCGTTGGATAACCAATAATTAACGATTCACATGAAATATCAAAACACTAGGCCGTCACTTGCCTGAAATTTGCTGCCTTTGGGAATCGTGTGGTAGCGCCCTCGGTTGCTCGGCCCTGAGGTCATGAAGTTGACTTGCGGGTCCTTGGCCGCCATAATTATACAGAATACTGCTCCATGTCGCAGGGTCACCGTATCCAGGGAGGAACTGTCTATGGACAACGTTTGGATCCATCTTTCGTTTAAAAACTATGACAGCATGATCAGCATCTTTAAATGATACTTTTTCTTCAGAGACGGCGTTAATAATAATCGGCCTAATGGCCGGCAACAGAAGTAAGCCTTCGCGTTGATGAAGAGCTTCACAATCAATAACAATAGGAGAACAAAGGTGTGCGCCCTCGCATAATGCTGCTGCCCCGCAACTACATACGGTGCTTGAAGAAGATGTGAACTCTTTTTTATGAGAATCAGTAAATTGAAGACAGACTTTCCTAATAGATTTGTCAAATCTCTATATCGGGACAGGCAAAGAATATAGTTACTACCTGAGGAGGCACCATGATTGCCGCCGAAGAAGCAGGAAATTTTCGACTTTTGATGCTTCTAGTTCCCTGGAAAATGCACTCTTTTAAGCAAATTTCACAAAAGTAGTCCTTTGTTATTTGAAAATTGTTATTTTTCTTGCAAAAAAATTTTACAACAGATAAAAACAACAATTTCGCCGTGGTCTTGATAAATACCATGTTGTCAGTTACTTCTAATGCTACGTAAGAAGCAGCACTGGTTGTCAATTTAGATCCCTCTTTCCATCTTAGCATGCCTTTTGAATGTTAAAAAAATCTGGAGCTCATAGTGAATAGCAGTTGACGCTTTTACTGAGAAACTTTAGGAGATTCTACTGAGAAACAAAGGCAAAATTTTACCTAAAGAGGGCCTGGATTTTTAGATTTATTGCCAACAAGCAATCTTCAGATCTTCAAATCATTAGTTTGTTTACCATCATACATATCGAGGAATATCATATTTAACCAACGGAGCAACTACCTTTGCTTGGTCTTTTATTGATTTTATGACATAATGGTCTCTGAAATACCTAAAGGGTTTCTTCCACAGAGCGAATTTTACCTGAAATTTCCTATCGAGATACTATTGGGGGGGTGTGACGCCCCCTACACCCCCAGTCGCGACGCCCCTGACCCTGGGTTCCAGAGCGTCAGGCAAACAAAGCTCTCGTTTGCCAACAGAGTGAGTAAGGCATCCTTTATCTGCTGAAAAGTTTGAAAATTTACCGAAATAAGCATCCCTAGATTGCAAAAAAACTCCTCGTTTTGAGACGAAAAATTGTTCAGGATTGCATTAACAGTATCAAGTCTCAGCTTGTTCTTAATTGGTTTTTAACTTTTGTGTTTTGATAAAATTGGTTTTTAACTTTTGTGTTTTGATAAAATTGGTTTTTAACTTTTGTGTTTTTATAAAATTGTTTTTATATAAAAGAGAGCTTATCGTTTGGTTGCACCTTACACTTGACTTTAGATTAAAAATAACAAATGAGTGACTTAAGGTCCTCCCTTCTTTGCACTTCAGGGCCTAAAATAAGAAATTTTTACAGATCCTCATTTTTTACAAAAATTGGGCGTGGTACTTTGCTGGGATTGGCATCATGGGGGTGGCAAATATAAAAACTGCCATCATGGTGCAAATAGCAAATCCTAATTGGGCAAAAGCAAAAGCTGATTTTTTACATTATATGGATTGGGTTAATAAGAAAATTAGCTACATATAGCGATGTCTTAATAGGTGAGCAAAAAGTTATCGAAAAGAAACTCTTTTACATGGTTTGTTCGGATCTCTGTCAAAGTTATTTTTTTCCCTTTCACCTTCAAAAACTCCCTTAATTCAGCCTTGCTTCTCAGACTTTGGTATTTTTTGGTTTTTTGAACCATATCATTGCAGCTTTTCTCGGAACTCAAAACTTGCGAGATCAAGCATATTCATTGCAATATTTATCTATTTGTTACGTTTTTCTGGAGCTATGCTGCTTTCCCCACCTGCTTCTATCTTGTTGTAGGTGGGAATCAGCCTCTCTGCATCGACAGAATTAGGGATTGCTGCGATTTCCGCGACAAAAGCTGGGTGAAGCTTTCTAAAGTCTTGTTTACTTATGGAAAGTTCTTAACTGCATTCAGCCCATCCAATTCTTTGCCATCAAATCTGTTCTTCAAAAAGTTTTGATACTTTAAACGAAAACCTCGTTACAGATGGCAAATAAACTCTTTTCTCAACGATGTACAAATTGTGCTTGTTTCTTATTCTCTTTTCGCCCAGTTTGAAAGCATGACCGTTACCCCCATCTTGTTTGTAATGCAGAAACAAGGCACCAGATCTCAATTTTGGAATTACGCCAAATTTGTCATAGATTGTGCTAGATTTGCAAAAAATTATGCTAGATTTCAAATCAAGGCAACCCTGCTTGAGAAAGAGGCTAATGCATGCTCAGAATATCAAAAGTGGCCAGAGTTGCAATTTGGCCTTTTTGACAACCCAGTGTACTCAATCTTCATAAACAAAAAGGGGCAATTTGAATCAATGGTTTGATGGCCAAATTTCTCCAATTGAGCCTAGAATTCCTGTGAAGATAAGCCTTAAACGAAATTTTCTAGGGTACCATGGTGCTTTCAAAAAATTTTAATATGCAGGATAATTAACATGAAGACTTGCTGTGATGAAGAGCAACAGGGCCTAAAATAAGCGTGGATCTGACTCACTTTGTGGAGTTGTAAATTAAAATTGTGGACCTGTAATTGTAGAAAGTGTGGATTTGTAAATAATGCGTTTTCTTAAAAGTGCAGCATAAAGAAATGCCTAAGAAAGAAATGGCAATATTTTTCCAATTCGCAACGAATGCCCAATCCCAGCCTTATGTATTGCACTCATTTTTTGTAAGAAAATTGCGATAAGAAATAAGCAATGGATAATAAAGAAGAATTAAGAAACTTCAGAGCTCGAAGCTTCAGTCATGCGGAGAAAAATCAATTGCGCTTTATGATAATGTTGTGTGCTATTTTGAAGTAAGATGAACTCTGTATACAGCTTTAACTTCACGACATCATCTCAATTTAGTTTGCTTTCATGACTTGCCTCAAAAAAGACACTGAGCCTTAAGACCAAGACCGAGATTATGATTTCCTGCCCGCAATGTATTTTGGGGTTTTTATGTGATATCTTTCAATAGATGTCAGAAAAAGTTATAAAGCAATTCGTCTAAGGTGTTTTAAATTGGTAAAGCATTGGAAAAATTCCTCTCAAGGCTACAGTAGCTGAATGATGATAAGCCTCTCGGTGGTAGCTGGGAGGAACATTCAATTGGGAATGTTGCAAGACAGGGACTATAGTCCTCCCCAACTTTTTTGCAACAATAGGTTAGAAAATGTTTTGAAAGTTTACGCTAACGAACGCATTAGTAGCAGTTCTGCTGGGAACACGTTTTTGTTCTTTTTGGTGGTGCTTTATCTTGTGTGGTCTGTTCTTGTGTGATGGTGCTTTATTTGTAATTTATCTAACTCGGTTTTGTATTTTTATGTTAATTGAAATCTTCCCTAAATGGTTATGTTTATGAATAGGGACAGAAAGAAGCAAAAATTTTCTGAAAGGAGCGTTTTCCGATATCTTAAATGGTCGTGGCCGCAAAAAATTAAGGGGCAAGCCTCCTGGTCCCGTTCCAACCACTCTCTTGTGAGCTGGTGCCAGTGTGACCTGATCTACTGTAATATTAGAATAATATTTGCCAAAAATCGTCATTTAGCATAAAATCTAGCATAATTTGGAATCTAGCATAACTCTAGCATAATTCTGATATTATTTAAAAGAATCATTGTTTTCATGGATCCATTGTCTATCGTTACCAAATGCAAACATTTTACACCAGCATTTGTGGTTTCATTTTGGGAGTAAATTGTGACTTTCCACCTGCAGGATTTTTTCAGTTGTTCTGAATGGTTGGCAGCCACATACTTTATGGTTGGCATCCAAACTCGGCCAGCTAAACGCAGTATACAAAAAAGCTAAATTTTTGCTAATTATTGGGAGTGATACCGTTATCAACATTTGCTTTGTAGGTTGAAAAAGTTTTCACTTGCTTTGATCAAAAACTGTCTGTTATCTTTTGCTTTGTTTCATCATTCATCATTTGCAATTTTGAAATTATTTTAAAATTTTTTGAATATTATCTGTGCAAAAATTTTCATTTCCTTTGCATTTTTGTTGTTTTTTGTAACATGCTGCCAGAATTCAGCCAAATTTTTCGGCCAAATCAATATATGACGGCCAAGCGGTTTTGAGAAACTGCCAAAATGAAGCATAATTTTTTCTTCCATAATTCCATAAATGAGGATTTGAAATCTAGCATAATTTTTGCAAATCTAGCACAATCTTATGACGAATTTGGCGTAATTCCAAAATTGAGATCTGGTGCGTGGTTTCTGCATTACGAACAAGATGGGGGTAAAGATCATGCTTTCAAACTGGGCGAAAAGAGAATAAGAAGAAACAAGCACAATTTGTACATCAGTGAGAGAAGAGTTTATTTGCCATCTTTAACGAGGTTTTTGTTTCATAAGTATCAAAACTTTTTGAAGAACAGATTTGATGGCAAAGAATTTGATGGGCTGAATGCAGTGAAGAACTTTCCATAAGTAGAAGAGACTTGAGAAAGCTTCACCCAGCTTTTGTCCCGGACATCGCAGTAATCCCTAATTCTGTCGATGCAGAGAGGCTGATTCCCACCTACAACAAGATAGAAGCAGGTGGGGAAAGCAGCATAGCTCCAGAAATCTTATCAAATAGATAAATATTGCAATTAATATGCTTGATCTCGCAAGTTTCGAGTCCCGAGAAAAGCTGCAAAGATATGGTTCCAAAAAACCAAAAAATACCAAAGTCTGGGAAGCAAGGCTGATTTAAGGGAGTTTTTGAAGGTGAAAGAAAAAAATAACTTTGACAGAGAACTGAACAAACCATGTAAAAGAGTTTCTTTTCGATAACTTTTTGCTCACATATTAAGACATCGCAATATGTAGCTAATTTCCTTTTTAAAGGGCCTCTCCAGCCAAAAAAATTTTTTTTTATTGACTAAAAAGTTAGCATCTGGTGCGTGTATTATGGCAAAGTTGTCGTTTTTGCAAAGTTTCAATTAGTTTAGAAGTTATAAGGCTTTAAAGTTGCACCTTTCCGAGAAAAAAACGACAAAAGCCGAATCAGTTTTGTGACATTCTGACGTCACAGTGTGCGGCTCTCGTTCGTCATGAATTTCTTATATCTTCCACCGAATCGTGAAGGAGTCATGGTCACGCGTTGATAACTGCATCTAAATCAGCAGGAGCTTTTTAG